ATCAGAAAAATACCAGGCGCCCCAGTTACAATTATGGTCTTAAGAGGGTTAAATATTGTTTAAATATTTTATGCTTTGTTTCTTTGGAAAGTAACTGATTTCCCCCCCCCCCCCCCCTTTTTTTTTTTTTTGTAGTCCAGCCTCGGTTTTCCCCCACATATTCTCATTTGGATTAAAGCCTGGACTTTGACTAGGCGATTCTAACACGTGAATATGTTTTCATCTAAGCCCTTCCATTACAGCGCTGGCTCAACGTTCAGTGGTGAAAGTTGAACCTCTTATACAAGGTCCAGTCTTTTGGTGCCTCCAAGATATTTTCTACCAGAACTTCCCTGTGTTTAACCACCTGAAGTCTGACCAGATTCGCTGTTCCTAATGAAGAAAATCCAGATGACAGCAGAAGGAGTTTAAATTCTTCAGATGGTGTGTGATGGTGGGTGATGTGCAGATTCAGTTTTTCTTCCAAACTAAGTTAGTTTTACTCTGTTTAATCAGACCAAAACCCCTTCTTTGATTGAAGAGTAACCAAATATAGAAAATTAAGGTAAATTTTCTTTAGTTATAGTGTTGTATAATTATTGTGCTTCCTTAAATTTTATGTGATTTTGTAAAATGTATGTTAGTGGGAAGTTGGATATCATTTACATATTTGAAATAAATACCACAAAAAGTATTAGTATTTTTGCAAGGCCATGGATGATATAATGTTTTAGAAATTGCATAAAATGTAGTGAAATAAATTAAAATAGAGAAACTATTTGGTTAAGTATCAGTGAAGTTACATCCTATAACCACAGACTTGCATAATACTTGCATAATTGCTAATCTAATCCTCTTTGCAACCAGTGCGGTTTAGAAAGGTCTCCTTTGTGTGACTCTTTACCTTGTACCACTGTACTTTAGGTGTGGGTCTTCCTGTGATGATGGCCATGAATGTTGCTGGTTGCCCAGGTTCGACACACAGATCCTCAGCAGGAACCTGGACCGAAGGAGGAGCTGAGAAGAAAGCTGTATCAGTATTTATTAATGCAACAATTTATTGACTTAATTCTGCATTGAAAAATATAAACTACCATCTGTTATTTCGTGCAAAGCCTCTGAAATATAGATCTCTTCTTCTTCTTCTTCTTCCAGATAACATGAAGATTGCTGTACTGGAGATGGGTGAACATCCACAACAGTGCTGTATCTGGTATTGAAGATAGGCAAAGATGCACAGAATGTGATTGGCTCAAAGTACTATACTAAATATCACTTTTAAAAAGTCTAATAAACATGGACAAAAATTATTATAAGGAAGCAAAAATCTTGTCGGTTTTGATCGGTCAGCTCTACATAAGACAAGTTGAAAGACAGAAGGTTCCCAAACATACATACATTTAGATAAAATTAGTTAAACTCACAATAACATCAGCAAGCACAAAATCAATATATTTTCTTGAATTTCTATTAGAGCAACCAATAATGTTAACTGTAACCTTGGTTAATTTATTAGCATAAAAATCACTTCTTGGTGCAAACATTTTGAGAACATGCAAAGACTGCTGTGAAGGTTCAGTAAAAGAGTCTAGAAAAATAACCCTTTGTTGTGAGGAGCACAGACTCTAGAGCTAATCATATATAATGTCATCCTCATTATTGTTCGTATGAAGAAAGATTAGCGTGAACACCAGTACACCGATCCTTTTTCTAATCTCATTATCTTGATGAGGAGCAGTTATCGTGGTAAAACCTGCACTGCCACAATGCTTTAATAAGGTTAGCAGTTGCTAATGCTCAGTTATTTAAAATGGTGAAACACAGTCCATGCAAATTATAATTAAAAAAAAGCTTACTGCTCAGAAGATCCAGGGGGAAATTGTGTATTTGCAATAGAAGAAGGGCTGAAATCAGTCTGCAGCCATTTCTTAACAATGGCAGTGGACCAGGCCTCTGAGTCAGCTTCTAGAAAAACCAAAACACCAATTAGAGAAACTTTCAAATTAAAGATTAATAAATAATTTGAGAATTTTGTATTTTATTTTATTTTTTTTTACTAAAAGTGGAAAAAATTATTTTCTAGAAAGTACATTACCTTACAATCCAGGAACAGCAAACACCCAGTTTGTCTTACCTTGAAGAGTCAGGGTTTTACCCATCTAACCCACCACATCAACAGGACATGATCACATGCCCACTCCTGCACGGGCAGGAAGGATACACTCGCCCAGCACATGACCATCTTGTAGGAGTGGAGAGTTAGCTGGGCATGCGTTGGCAGGAAGAGAAAGGGAGTGTTGAGTGGTTATTGGTTATCATGAGTGTGATGACTTTCATGGAACAGTCCATGTGAGGAACCCCCTGCTTTGGGACCAGTGAAGGGAAAATGGGAACCATCATGTAGGTTATAGACAATGGGAAGACAAACAAATATGGTATGAAAAATACAAAAGTACAATTCACTTAAATTCCGATTAACCGATTTATGACCGGCTACACAAAAACACTGACATGAAGTTTCAATATTATCCTGTCCGCCACTAGCTTTTGGCACCTTCAGTCTGCTGATCGTTGCATATAAACACTGCAGTAGGAACACATACTGTTACAATCCATGCCCTCTGTGAAAAGTGAAAACATGATGAAAAACATTGAACACCCCATACAATACATTTAGCAATGTCTGTTGTGGATGTTGGGGAACACAGTATGAATTCTATCATGAATGATACCAACTAGATCCCACATATTATGGCTAGAGGGAAGAGAGGTAAAGGTGCAATGGTTACATTTAATGTTTCCTTCCCAAAATCAACATTCTGCCTGCAAAAAGTTGTATGTGTTAATTACATGCATATGTTAGCTTCCACACAATGGAGAAAATTTACAAAACACAATAATCTGCTCTCTTTTTTGCAGTATTTGTTACATGAACTGCTTTGCACTGATTGGTTTCACAAATGCATACGTGAAAAAACCAGGTGGCATTATTCAAAATGCAAAGCACTTTGCTATAGCTGAAATTTATGCACATATAGATGAGAAGACTTACACCTAAATGTATGCTTAGTGTTTCATTTAAGTGCAGGAAACTACATCGTTACATGGTAAATATTTGTGTGTCATAAAGGTTATTTGTGGCTGAGTTCATTAACAAATATGAGTAACTAAACGTACTAAAGAGCCTACCAGACATTACTCTTGATAACAATCAATAGTTAGGACTAGACATGCACCAAGAAATTGGGTGGTAGCTGGAATTAGACAATTTTCAAGTTGATTGTCTTGGATTAGTGATCCGCCAAGTGGTAAAACATCAGAAGAAGATATTTTTTCCAGCAAAATTATCTCGGATACAAACAGCTAGGACTAGTGGACCAACACTTTTCAGGGTAGGAATGGTACAGAGAGAAGAAAACTCAAAGCTAGATATCTTCAAGAGCGGTATTGTGTTTTATGAATAATCTTCTGAAAGCTCTTTAGATCTTGAGAATAAAAAAATCTAAAATCCCTAAAATAGTTGAAAGCTCTATATACCATTATGATTGGTGCATGCATTGTATTTTAAATCAAATGCTACGCAGGTTGCACCCTGTGCCATAATAGTTTGGAATCTAGTCAAATGGTAGCTGGAACTATGTTTGATGAAAGAGTGTATGAAATACGGGTGAAAAAAAATGTAAGTATGTGAGTAATATTTCAAGATACAGCACACTTCATGGAGTTTATGAATGGTAGTGCTCGGAAGATACTGACCAGGCCAGATTTATGGATATTGTAAAGAGATGTCACATAATGTGATGGAGAAAGGGTGATAATGTTGGAAGTAAAACTTGGTAATGGTATGTGCTTTAACCCTTTGGAAACGCAGCTAATCTGCTAAAAGGATAAACCACACATATGAAAACGCTGTCATGGGTTTTCACATATGTGTTGATTCCAGTGGCTCGGACAGTCCTACCTTTGACAGGTAAGTCCTTTGATTGGTCACTCTCACTTTCAGCTGGCGGTACAAAGGCAGGACAAAGACCTGCTTTGCATTTGACACAGCCGAGTTCATTCCAAAGCTAAGGAAAAGAAAACATTTGACAAGGAAGTGACACTGTCTGTTTTAATACTATTCACTCTCCACTAGTATAAGTAAAGGAGAAATGTGTTTTATACCTCACACTCATACTGTCCGATATCTGCCTCTGTTGCTCCGATAACTGTGAGAGACAAGATTCCACTTCGGGCGTCGTTCACAATGGAGTATTTATTGCTGTCAGTCAGCTCCTTGTCATCTTTCAACCACCTGCAGGCAGAATAATTTCTGCTGTCAGCAGACACATGGCCATCAGCTGTGACATGTAACATGATTATCTCTGTGTTTTGCCATACCTGATTCTTGGTAAAGGGGTTGTGAGAGTGGAACATGAAAACTGGATCTCCTCTCCGTCAATCAGACACACACTTTCTAGTCGGCTCACAAATCTGGGTGGAGCTGGAGAAAAGGACAAAGTGAACGTAAATAATTTGAAAAGAAACAGCTAGATATGGGGTAAGAACCACATGTCGGTAATATTTGACCTGGCATTTGTCAAGGTAGAAAAAATGGAGTGGTAAATACAGCATAATTGTACTACAGGTACAAGTAGCCAAATTGCATTGATTGCTTACAAAGGGCCTTGCAAAAGCATTGCATTTCTTGAACCTCTTCACAGTTTGTCATGTTACAATTACAATTTACACGTTACATGTTACAGTTTACTCACCTTGCACCACCACCTTAGCCAGAGTGCCAGCATTTCCCACAGAGCTGGTTGCATAGCACATGTACTGACCAGAGTCCTCTGCTGTAAGGCAGTCCAGGACAAGACTGCATGTTCCTGACCGGTCAGCTGAGATGATGTGCCGTGGGTCATCCTCCAAAGGAAGACCATCTGTGAAAAAAACAAATCAAACTTCACCCAGCAAAGCAAGAGTTGTTTACGAAAGGTTAAAATATAAAAAAACTATTTGGAAGTTTTAAAGATGTGGCCCACATTTGCAACCTCTAAACTGTAAATACTTCAAGAAGAAACTGAAGAAATGCAAACCTTTGATCCAGCTGACCACTGGTTTTGGAAATCCCAATACTCTGCAGGTCAGTTTGATTGTCTGTCCAATTTGTGTTGAGCAATCACAAAGCAGAGACTCAAACACTGGAGGGCCTGATGATAGATGATGACATAAACAGATAAATGCTCAATAATTAAAAGCTATCAAAACCTCCCCACTTTTATTTGCTGGCTTGCTAACATTTCTGAAGAACATAGGAAGACCTACAGTTATTGCTGAGGCTGGAGCGTTGCTGCAGCTCCTTCAGATCTTTCAGCCAGGACAGCTTAACCAGAGTGGAGTTGCTCTGCAAAGTGTAACGCCGTATAGAGCCTCTGTGCTCATGCCACAAACCCCAGGACCTGTCTTCTCCTGCCACTGTTTCCTTTATTTCCACATCATTCAGCTGGGCAAGTTGTTGAATCAAAAACACCAAAGTAAAATGACAGCAGGCACATTTGCACCATGGTGAAAATTTGCTTCACCAACAATGGAATACTGTGCCGGAAAGAAGGCAGATGTGCTGATCTTACCTTCATTTTGTTCTTAAAGCTGTAAGTGTCTTGATTCATGCTGCCATCTCTCTTCACCCTACACAGTACAATGCATTCCTTAAAGAGAAACACTTGTCTCTGATGCCCTCTAGAGGTTGTTTTCACTTCTGGAGATTCCTCCCACACTGTGAAGACTCCCTAAACAGGTAAAAAAAAAATCACAGTTTAGAGACAATTGCACCGAATATTCTGATATTATAAGAAGAAGTAAGTGCTTCAAAACAAAGACACGTTAGTGTGGAAGCATGTAAGTCAAAGATTTTTATTTGAACTGCTACTCTGCCTTGGAATCGGAAAGATTTGTATGCTTGAAGAAAGCAAAGTTTTGACAACAAAACTCTCACTAAAAATAATGTTTAAAACCCAAAAAACAAACATAGCTGTCTTTTCTACTTACCTGTCGTACAGGCTCACCCAGAGCAGTAAGAGGAGCTGGATAGTTTTCAATCAGTGATACTCGATGCAGGTTGTCTGATCTCCAGGGCAAACAGGACACCACGGAGAAGGCGTCCTCCAAAAGGTAGCAGCTCTGGCCACTCTTTGCTTTGTTCTTGATCAGCTCCTGACAATCAATCAATAACTGGTTAAAATTGGTGAAAGCAGAAATATGACTTTAAGAGCTTGTATTGTATATAAAGAGTTTCTAACAATAGTCCATGTTTTTCCCATGTCTTTTCCCCCAGAGTTTTAATTTTTTATTCAGCACATGTTGATGGAGGATTTTCTGGATGGATAGATACCGTATGCTTTATTATAACATTTCCATTAAATACCTAAATCAAACTGTAACCGACTGCAAATATTGATAACCAGATAGTCATCTTCAGCCTTGTGTCCAGCTATGCTGTAGTACAGCAGCTAATGCAGTACGATCTTAAATCCCCTTTGAAAGATAAATAATTAAAGTTTTCTGCATCACAGAGGTTCAAAAGCTTGGTACCTTCAGTAAAGCCTGGTAGGTTTGAATCCTCTCTACTGGTTGCTGCAGGAAAGTAAGGACATCCATAATAGGGACATCACCAGGCTTCTCAGGTGCTGCTATCTCCTGAATGATCATTGACAAGAAATAAACATTAGGTTGGTGCAATAAAGCTCTCTTTCTAAACTTTAAGTCTTGTGAACAGGCATGAAGAGATTCAAAAATTACTTTGAAGTATTGCTGAACAGCCTTGTCACTGACGCAGGCCTCCGCTTGTGCTTGCCCCACCATGTAGTGAAGGTACTTTTCAAAATGTTCAGCGTGCTTGATTAAATACATGGCAACATCATCATCTGTAACGCAGCCCCTCAGGCCAGGGAGGATGGAACTGAAAGTAAATGTATTACTGAGGACTGTATTATGGCATTTTCTTTAAAAAAAAAAAAAGTGATCCCAATAATATTAGAAGAAGTATGGAGATCTGGTTCTGTTACCGTTCATGTAAACCGACAATGTCTTTGATGTTCCTGAAGATGATTTCTTTCTGATTGAGGATGTTAATGGGGACATGGTGGCTACAGTCCAGATGGTTGAGCTGGTGAGTGATAAACATCTTCATTGCCTTTACAAACTCCTCTTCTCCATCAATCAAGCCTTGGATCAGCTGACTAAAGATTTCAGGAAGTACAGAAAAATTGGAAGTGATGCACTGAAAATTCTAGTTTGATCTAGGTCCAGTAAATTCTGATCACAAATGTCACAATATCAATGTGTCATGAAAAATATGAAGAACAGACCTCAGTTCTCTCCTGTACTCTTCCCCTGTAGACCCAATTCCATCGAGATCTTCCTGAGCAACTCTCCTTTGTGGGAAGGTTTCCTGTTGGAAATGATAGCCAGGTATTTATTTATCATAAAACCCTCTCATGTCTGTGCTGGTAAATGAACAAAATTGAGGCATATATAAAATGTGTTCATGTACAGTTGATACCAGATATTTTCATGAATAGTACAACATTTCATCTCACTGTCTGTCATTAGATAAGACAAATTCAAATCGAAATTCAAACTTCTGAAAAGCTTGTAGAAGGATACCAAAAATGTTTGGCACACAGTTCAGGAAATTGAACCAAGCGATAAGGAAATTAATCTAAACATCTGAATTTGAGAACAGCTATAAAAATGTCTAAAAATCTATCTCTGAATTTTCTTGCAATCCTATCTGAAGGGTGTAGTCTGGCTTCATGTCAAATAGTTATATGGTTTATGTAGAGTTCAACTTTACATATAAACTTAAAACTACGTAGATTCACCAACAATATTTGTACAACTTACTTTTCTCTTCTTTTCCAGATAGGCAGGACACAGCCATCCCTGCCGAGAAGGGTTGGTTTTGGTTGGTTTGGTCCTCACCAACCATCTGTCAGGATGAACAGAGTCCAGGACCTCCACAAACTGACCCTCTTTCAGAATAAAACTGTCCTTACTTCCAATATTAGGACTGCAGTCGGCACGAGCTACATATATTTCAAATATCTGAAGAAGGAAACATTAAGAAGGTTAGACTTTAATGGTAAGATAATTTTACTAATCTGATAATGACTTAATTAAATCAAACTTGCAAAAAATATGATTAGAATGTAAAATGTACCTCTCGTCTGTCCTCTTCACCCTCTGACTCAGATCCAGACACAGTACTTGTTAAAGGCGTGTGGGATCGATGGTGCTTTGGAGATGCTGTTCTTAGCTTAATATCATGAGTTCCTTCAAATTAGAACAAGGGGAAACCTTATTTTAGTAGCACAGTAAATAAATCTGGCTGTAGAAAAACAATAGTAAGATGGAAAGAAAGATTGCTGTATGCATATTTACATAAACATATACAGCATTTTTATGTAAAAGGTGATGGATTAATAATGAGCAGACACAAATATTTGTTAATCTAATCTGTACAGTTTCTGAAAAAAACAAACAATGGTTTGGATTTGGAGAGACTAAAGATCTTGCATTAAATGTAACAAAAAAAGCCAAGCAAAATGATCCAAAATGCCTACATGTTTGTTCAAAAGTATGTTTTTTTTCTTTTGTTTGTTTGTTTGTTTTACCTTAACCGTAAGCAGCTTCAGGTCAACAAAATCTGTTTCTAAAGTTATTGGCTCACTGGTGACACTTAGTGGCCATGCTGGGAAACTGCTACTGATGTGTAACATTTGTAGCTGAGAAATAAATCTGAATGTTTTACCAAGAAATATCATTAAGACCACTCCAAGCATAATGCATTTCACATGTGAAACAAATAATTTTATCAACAAAAGAGTCTACAATTTTTGTATTTTGGGATAAGTTTCCCTATTTATTTATTTTTTTAATATTCAATGTATTATAATTGTACATTTCAAAATGTACAATTCTTTTTGGAATATTTTTTTGTACTCTGTCCCAGCAATTAAAAACACAAATTTATGGAATAATTTTGCTGACCTTTAACATTCAGCAGTTTCATAGGAGGTTTCGGAGCAGCTGTTTCTTCGTTATTATCCTTTGGCTGCATTGTGTCAGCAGGTTTTGGTACTTCCCTGATAAAATATCAATAAAGACCAGTTCAGTTTCAGGAGCACAACATTCAAGATGAGCATTAAAATGTAGGGACAATGTAAGGAGAATTACCTTGGTGCCACTGGAATAGTCTCAACAGGCTCCATTATATCTGGAGCTGTGTCATACTCTGAGGGACTTGACACTGTTAAAGGTAGAAAGTTGACAATGTATAGTGATAGCCCTGGTTTGTGCTTATAACTAAAAACCAAATGTGCAACTTACAGGAGCTGACAGCAATGAGTGAAGATCTTCTCTCTTCCAGGAGTGTTTGATTGTTCTGTTCTGTCAAGATGTAGGCATCCCACAGGGAAACATTCACACTTTCTACATAATTTTCAGCATCTGCAATTGGAGCTAGCTCTGCTTGACTCTGAGTCAGGCTTTGAGTCTGTGTCACGTCCTGGGTGTCAGGCTTCTGTGGAGCAAGCTGCAAAGGAGTTATGGCCGCTAGTGGTGGGTGTACAGGCTTCTGGACTGCAGGAACAGGTTGCACAGTCTTCACTACGGTTATGTTTCCATTGTAGGAGGTCACACCAAACTTATTTGCCACCTCACAGGTATAAACTCCGCTGTCGCTGCTGTTCAAGTTTTTAACCACGAGTGTGCATTCTCCGTTTTCTGTTGTTTCAACCCGGCATCGAGGATCATTTATAACATGGTGGCCATTTTTCAACCAGCGCACAGTGCTGGGTCTTCCATCCACAGCACACTTTAATGTAAGTGTACCATGAAGATCTGCATTCTGGTTCTTGAATACCTCCTTAAAGACCGGTCGCATGTCCTTGCGAGCTTTGTAGCCTTTGAATGCTGCCTGGATCTTAATGGCAGCTTCTTGCATTTCGGGTTCATCCTCTATGTTGATGTCAGTCTCCAGAGGAGACGGTTCTGGTGGCTGGATCTCCTGGATAAGTTGCTGTCCTGTTTGTCTCTCGGGAACAGCAGGTTGGAAGTGGTTAGGAGGGAGCTCAGTTAAGGCCTCTGAGAAAGTTTCTTCTTCAGAAATGTAGAGCAGAGCAATGTCGTCTTCCATTTTAGTCGATTGTGTTTCCTCCACTCTTCTTATTGGCTCAACAGCCAGTTTAATTTCAGGTTCTTTCTTAATTGGTTTTACTGGTTGTTTTACTGGTTGCTTAAGTTTATCTTCTGCTTCACTATCAGTTGTGATAGACTTACTTCCTTCTAACTTTAAAATTTCTTCAACGTCTTTCTTCAAAGGCTTTTTTAGTTGTTTGTCTGTCTTCTCCTCAGGGGACTTTACTCCAACACTTTTAGGCTGTACATCATCTTGATCTGTCTCTGTGTCCCGTGACTCATGTATTTCCATTCCTATTTTTATCTTACTCTTTCTCCTCTCAGGTGGCTTCGGAGGTGCAAATTGAAGGATTTCATCTGCCTTTTCTGGCTCTTCTATTGATTGCTGGTTTGCTCTGGGCGTTTGTGTCAATACCTTCTCTGTGAACTCTTGCCCATTTTGTCTCTCTTTATGATCTTCAAAATCTTTAAGGAAAGTCTTGATTAGTTGAGGAATTGTTTCCTCTGTTTGATTCATAATAGACTTGAGTGATTGCTCTCCATATGCTACCTTTGCCTTAGATCTTACTGGTGGTTTCAAAGTCTCCTCTTCTGTCTTTCCTACTTCACCTTTGATTTTTGAAGGTTTGACATCTGTTTTTATTTCTTTCCCATTAAGCTGCTCTTGTACATGTTTTTCATCCTGACTGTTTCTCCAAATTGTTGTTGGTTTTTGAGCTATTTTCTGTTTAACTTCATTTGCTTCTTCTGAAGTGTTTTCTTGTTGTTTTAACCCCTTTTCAGTTTCACATCCCTTTTCTGTCTCTTTCAGTTCAACCACTTTGTTACCCACAAGCCTTTCTGACTGATTTACTGGAGGGATGACTTTAACAAATTTTCCTACATTCCCTTCTGGTTGTCTCTTTTCCATAAGATCATTTTCGGTACCCAGAGGTGAAGCTGGCTTTTCAATCCTCCTACCAGCCTTATAATCCTTCTCTGGTAGCTGAACTATCTTAACCTCTTTCTTGTGCACTTCACTCCCTTTGTCTTCACTCCTCTCCACTTTTGTTCCATTCTGAGCAACATCCAAGTTTTCTACTGGAGATCTTTTATGTTGAACACCCTCTTGGACTTCATTATTCACATTCTGCACAGACACCTTTATGGCAAAAACTTGCTCTGTGTCTTTTTCGACAGAAGTAATAGATGCTTTCCGATTTGTCCTCTTCTTGGGCTCTGGGGGAATCTGGTTGGGATCTGGAAGCTTGGGCTTTTCATTTTCTGAAGCGGGAGCTGGTTTAGGGATCGTACTTTTCATCTGCGCCGATGCTGTTCTAGACTTTTCCTCTGATGGAGGTGTTGGTGCTTCACAGAAGGAAAAATGGTATTAACATTATAAGAGTAGTTATTCAAGATTAAGTAAAAAAAAAAAAAAAAAAAAAGGATACACACCTTTTATTTGTACTGTTGCAGACGTTTCTGCATTTCCGGCGTGACATGAGTAGCTACCACTGTCCTCTGAACTGATCTTCCTGATGTTAAGCTGCAGGAAACAGCCGTCTTGTTTCATCTCATACTTCTCGCCGGCTCTCAGAGGCAGATTATCCTTCTTCCACAGAAAAGCCACTCCAGGTTTGGATAACTCACAGGACAATGAGGCTGCACTGCCAACCTCTGCCTCTACACTTTGTAATTCTTTGATGAACAATGAAGCAAGTTCTAAGGGGATTGAAAGGAAACATATATTGTACAGCATCAAATAAGGGAGTAATACATTTTCAGGGCTTCATTTTTCTTGTGTACTGTACATTCAGTAGTCTGTCGTTACCAAAGTTTCTTTGACGTCTTTCTTCAAGGCGTCGAAGAAGACGTCTTCGACGTCTTTTAGAGCAACAACTGTCTTACTAAAGCACTATTTTCTATCTTGACATGTACATTGGCATCAGCAAAATGCATGTTATGCAATTAAGGATCAACTCCTCCCACATTGTTGAAATATTTGTGGTGCTTTTCATGTGGTTCCGGTGTGATCAATGCATGTATAAAAGGATCACAGTGTTCAAGCTCTAGAACAGGGTACTATCTTGTATTTTTTCCCCATTTTTATGAATGAAATGCTCTGTGAGTGCTATAAGTGGTTAGATCATTTTTATCAACTGACGTCAGTTCAGGAATCCGACAAGCCAATGTGAGTGATTATTCATCAGAACCAGCAGCTCATTTCCATTGTGTTGCATGAGATTGATGTTGTGTTTGTCACTGATGTCATATTTGAGTAGTAGTTGTGGAAATGCTGTAGCAGTGGCATATTTGTACAGTAACTGGCAGATATGGTATACTGCTGCAGTAATTTCTGACACACACTATGTTTGAGAAGCACTGATCCTAAGCTAAGTCGATGCAACCAACAGATTGAGAAAAGCATATTTTATAAATAATTGATAACGAATGCCCAAAGTTAAAATAAACACACCTTTAACTGCCACATTTGCAGTGCTTTCTCCGCTCCCTGCTTGGCATGTGTAGCTGCCACCGTCCTCAAGTTTGAGATCTTTGATGTCAAGCTGATAGAGTCGACCATTTTGTTTCATCTCATGCTTCATGCTGGCTCTCAGTGGCAGCTTGTTTTTCTTCCACAGCACTGAAACTCCAGGTTTGGAAAGTTCACAGCACAATGAGATCATGTCTCCTACCTCAGCATTCATATTTTGTAACTCCTTGATAAAGTACACAGGACATTCTGTAAAACAAAAAATATATATATATCATTTGGGGTGTCTTTGTTAGGATACAAATGACTTTGTTGCTTCAAACTGTTTCGTTACAGACCTTTCACAGATAATGTTGCAGTTGTCTCTGCATTCCCTGCTTGACACGAGTAGCTGCCGCTGTCCTCAGGTTTCAGGTCTTTGATATGTAGATAAAGGATGGAACCTTCTCGTTTCATCTCATACTTCTTACTGGCTCTGAGTGGCATCTTGTTTTTCTTCCATTGCACAGACGCTCCAGGTTTAGACACTTCGCAGCATAAAGACGCTGCTCCACCTTCGTCAGCCTCCATGCATACTAGCTCTTTCTTGAAGAAGGGAGGAAGTTCTGAGAAAATATGCCAGAATTTAGATTTCTTTCTTAATACTAAAAAACATTTGGACCATCTGATAAAACCATACATTGCACAGTAAATACACGCGTGGAGGCTTTACTGAGTTAACAATGTTGTTGTTGGTTTTACAACCTTTCACAGTCACAGTTGCTGTAGCCTCTGCAGCTCCAGCTTGACATGAGTAGGTACCACTATCCTCAGGTGTGAGATCCTTGATGTAAAGTTGGAGGAAGCAGCCATCATGCTTCATCTCATACTTCCTGTTTGCTCTCAGTGGCAGCCTGTTCTTCTTCCACTCTATTGATAGCCCAGGCTTGGATACCTCACAGCAAAGGGATGCTGTCCCTCCCTCCTCAATGGTGACATTTTTCAAATTCTCCTTGAAAAATGGGGGAAGTTCTGAGAAGATAAGCAATACATAAAGATCCAGCTCTGGCATAGCAGGAAAAGCCAGCATTACATTGCTTTGCTCTGAATGAAGTTTATTCCTGCAGTATTTAAAAAGCAGTTTACCAAACTAACAAACCTTTTACTGAGACAGTGGCACTAGTCTCTGCTTCTCCTGTTTGGCAAGTGTAGCAGCCACTGTCCTCCGGTTTGATCTCCTTGATGTTAAGCTGTAGAAAGCAGCCTTCCTGCTTCATCTCATACTTCTTATTGGCTCTCAGAGGCACATTGTTCTTCTTCCACTGAACAGAGACTCCAGGCTTAGAAACCTCACAGAAAAGCGAGGCTGTATCCCCTTCGTCTGCCTTTATGTTCTGCAGATCCT